CTCGTGCGAGCGGGAGGGCAGTCACCGGGGCTTTCACACTCTGCTGCCGAGGGACCCCCAGGCTTCTGCTCCCGCTAAAACCTGGCGCTGCAGCACGTCCTTATGCCCTATATGGCGTTACTGAGCTGCAGGCTTCTGCATAACCACCCCCTAAATGAAGCTGTATGCTACATTGTGGTATTTGTTCAGGTATTCCCCTATCAGTGCTTTCATGTGGCAATGGAGTCACCGTCCCTGGCAGCGCTCAAGAAAGGCGTAGATGAGACCTTCGGGGACATGGTTTAGCAGGCAGGGTGGCCATGGGTTTATGGCTGGACTCGGTGATCTTGAAGGTCTTTTCCAACCATAACGGTGCTATGATTTAAAGGTTAGCCTTTTCTCCATTAAAATGTTACTAACAGTTCCTCACAGTTACCGAGCCGATGGCTCAGCCTCAGCATGACATGAATACTGTGCTTATTCTTCTCTTTCAATCCTTTCTGTGTCTGTCTTTCTCAGTTAGGGATGTTTCCCTGACCCTCCATGTAACCCACATGTCCTCGCTGACATGATCCTACCTCCTAGCACCAAAGTGGCAGCTAACCCTGCTGTTTCTTACTGTAGAACATGTCTAAGGGACAAGCTTTCCTTAGCTGTTTTCTTTTTTCTTTGTCAGGCTTTGCAGTGCAAAACTCTAAGGTGGGATTTCATCATCTTGCACCACTGTTGCCAGAACATCCTCCTGCCTGGGCTTGGCGAGCACGCTCATGCATTTGTTCACACGAGTGCTGCTGTAAAGATGCTTTCCCCCTTGCTTTGGGCAGGCTGCGCATCTCTGTGCACCCCTGCTGGCCCCAGCCACAAGGTCATAAAAATCTGTCTTTCCCCAGAGCCTTCATCACACACAATGGCTCCTCTGTTCTGTCTCCAATATCAAATACTCATCTTCAGAGGCTGGTTCAGAGCATCAGTTTTTACAATTTAGTTATTTTTCAAACAAGCGCCTCCATGCTTTCTCTGCAGCTTTCACGCCTGGAGGTTCTCTCCATAAACAGCAAAGCAACCTCACCATCCTCTGTAGCATTTCCCTTTTACATAGGGTTACAACATTTGGCAGCTGTTGTGCTGGCGCCTCTTCTTCTGTAGCTGTCTGCAGCCCTTGTGAGCTTGGGGTCTACATGGAGCTGTATCTGTTTGGCACTCATACATGACACCCAGGACTAACCCTTCTAGGCACTTGGGCAGTATAAATAACGATCACGTAAACACGAGTCCCATATTTACTGAGGAACGGGAATCCATCGCTGTCCATCACCACCGCCAGGCGCCAGCGGCACTCAGAAACCAGCGCGTGCCCAGAGAGCCAACGCACGGGCTGGCACCGTTGTCCGCTGGCTCGTGCGGCATCGCGCATGCGGCCGGTGCTCCACGGAGCGCGTGGTGACCGCCATGGCCCTGCTGATTTCCCTGTTTTGTTTTCCACCATCACTCACAGAGCAGGACGGATGCGAGACCCCCGCGACAGGCGGATCTTGCTCCCTGGAGTGTTTCCTTTCATCTGCAATTGCTTCATCAAACCCTGCAAATCAGCACGTTAAGACAACAAAGCACAAAGGGGACGGCAGCGCGTGCCTTCCTGCCCCGTGTTTCCTTTGGCGCGCGGAGCAGCAGGGCTTTTCCTGAAAGGGAACTGCCGGTGACACTGGGCAGGGAGCCAGCGAGACAGGACAGCGACGCCGCTTGGGTCCTGGGCCCGGCCACTTCTGGGCCCGGCCGCTTCCATCATTCCGCTTTCCTTCTTAGATTCACAGGAGCAAAACAACAGGGCAGAGCCATCGCTGCTGCCCAGCTCGTGGGTGTTGTACATGCCAAAGCGTCACCGTGTCGCTTTGGCCCGGGCAGCGGCACCGGATGGTGTTTCTGAGCGTCCTTCCGAGCACCTCGCAGTGCCATGTGCTCCGGCAGCCAGGTCGCAGAGCCCAGGGGCGAGTGACCCCACTCGTGCCCACTGCTCCTATCTGCCTCGTTGGCCGGTAAAACCCGCTCCCGCCTTTCCTGCTCCCCACTTGGCACGTTGCTCCACGCGTGCGTTTCCTTCTCCGCAGCGAGTAGCGGAGGGAAGGGAGGCTCCTGGAGGACTGCACGCTGCAGGAATTCCCACGTGCTTTTCCACCACAGAAATAGCTCCGAGAGGTGCCGCCAACGCGGCCTGTCAGGCAGATGGGTCTCACGGGCGCTGCCGCTGCCCCGCGTGCTGGAAAGGGCCGCCCTGGCCAAGGCGGCTCCCCGAGGACCGGCTCCGCGGCCCCCCGGCTTCCACGTTTTGGGCGAGGACTCGCATTTTGGACGAGGACTCCCCTTTTGCGCGAGAATTCCCCTTTTGGGCGAGAACTGGCCTTTTGCGGCAC